TCCGAGTTTCTGAGGAAGGAAAAAGCAGAGGAGAAAGTTAGGGGGCTTGGGGGGGAAAGCGAGCTTCCCAAACCCCCTGCTTTGGGGTCCTCGGAATCTGCTCCAACAGCAGCAGTGGACGGTGTCCATTTAAGGGGCTGAATCTGGGGGCGGGGTCTGTCTGTGGCGGGGGCCGGCTTCCCTGCGAGAGTCCGGGCCTCCCTGCGCGGCAGCGGGAGGTCACAGGAGGCCCGGCTTTCTGCCTCCCCCCACCTGCCAGGTGCCTGCTGGGTGCTGGCAGCCCGACCCTGCCCCCTGGGGCCCACGTCCCAAGGAGGAAAGCCTGCAACAGATGGGGGACCGGGGACAGCGGGGGTCACGAGTGGGCAAGGGGCCGAGAGGAAGGAGGCGCTGAGGTAGGCGAGGCCTCGGCAGGAGTCTCTCCATGGAGGGACGATGGGCCGGCAGGAGGTGAGGGAGGGACGTGGGGCAGTGCCAAGGCCCTGGGGCAGAAACAGGCCTGGGGGCACTGGGCGGGTGGCACAGCGCGGGCAGCGGGGCTGCGCTGCCTGGCCCGGGGCTGGGAGAAGGCAGCAGAGGCGGGCGGGAGCTCTCGGTCGGAGGGGCCCCGGGAGCCCGGGATGTAACGTCTCAAACCCGCGCCCCTCAGACAGGAGCTGCGCCCGCAATAGCACCCCTGACGCCGAGGGCCCCTGGCGAACCGCCAGCCTCGGAGGGATGGAAGCGCGCCCAGGGCGACAGGTGGGCCGGCGGGTGAGGGCCGCGGCGGGGACGCCCCTCCCCCGCTGCATTATTGATCAGGGACAGACGGGGAACCGCCCACAACAGGTGCGCTGCCGCCCGCTCGCCCGCTGCCAGGCCCGTGAGAGGCTCGGCGGGGGAGGGGCGCAGGCCGCAGAGGTCCGGCCAGGGGATGGCCCCCGCGGGGCAAGGCCAACTGCTTAGGCCGCCCCCGCCGGGACCGTGTGCTCTGCCTGAGATCCCTGCCTGAAATTTCACCTGGTGACGGCCAGACCCTCGCCCACCCTGGTCCCCGGGGTCTCTGCCGGGGTCCAGCCACCGCAGCCTCAGGTAAGCCCCCCCGGGCCCAAAGACCGCTCCGAGTCCGGGGTCGGGGTGGTCCTGCGCGCCGGCAGTCAGGGGGCTCTGGGTGAGCCTGGGCTCCCCAGGGCAGTGGGAGTTGCGCCTGGTGAGGGGGGAGAGGGAAGCACTCCTGAGAGAATCCAAGGTCACCTTTGGGGACTTCGGGTGCCGTCTTGGGCTGTTGCTAAGCGCCCTCCCTCGTCATCGGGGCTGGCTGAGGAAACGAGTCTGCCTTCCCAGCTGGGAGCCTGCGGGGGGGGGGGGGGGGTGCCCCGGGGAGCTTGCAGGGGACAGTGTGAGCTCGGGCCTGGGGCTGCGGGGGCCCTCTCCTCCCTCGTGTGCCCCTGGGGGCGGTGCAAGTCCCACCCATTTGCCTCCAGGGCCGTGCCGTGGGCCTGTTGGGAAGCCCGGCCCTGGGCCCTGGCAGTGACACCAGCTCGTGGGTGTCGGGGGCCTCACACTTTTCTCCCAGCTGAGGCAGGCCAGCCTGGGAGCCGCGGGCCCCTCCGGGGCCACAGCAGGGTCTGCGGGCAGGGACCTCGCCCGGCAGCCACTTCCCGGTGTCTGAGCCCGGCGCCGGGGTGGACCATGACCTGGGGCAGCTGGAAGGAGGCTGGAGGGCAGGCTGTGGGCGAGGCAAGGGGAGCGCCCTGCTTTTGTGCGGGCAGTGGGCGCAGCGGGCTCTCCAACCCCATGGCCTCAGCGCCCCTTGGGAGCTCCTGAGGGGTCGAGGACACGCAGCAGGAGCTCCTCGGCCCAGGCCGGGGCCACCCAGCTTGGCCTGTGTGCGGACAGGGCCCAGGAGGAGCCCGCCCGCCCGCCTCAGGCAAGGGGAAGCCACAGACGAGCAAGGCCACGGCGAGGCCACAGCAGGCATCCACTTTCATAAACTGCTTCCATTTCCAAAGAAAGTGCTCATCGTGAGGCTGAGAGTCCCCTTTCTGGAGCCAGGGGGTGGGGGTGACGACATCTCGGCGTCTGCAGCAGGGACCTCACGCTCCTGCTGGGACCGAAACACAGGCACCCGTGTCCCTCGGGGCGCCGTTTTGGGGGTCCCAGTGAGGGGCTGGTGGTGGCAACCTGTCCCTCCCCAAGCCCAGCCAGGTCTACCCACATACACGGGGGCCACCAGCAGGCAGACCACCCCGGGCAGGAGGGACAGCCCCTGCGGCCCCGGCCACACTTCCTCGGGTCCAGTGACGGTGGCTCTGGCTCCGGCCTGGCCCCCCTCGGTCCCTGGCCCAGAAGGACGGCCCTCAGTCCAAGTGTGTTGAGTCGGAGCCTAAGGCTTCCGTCCCAGTGAACCTCCGTTTGCCCCTAACACTGGGGACGTGCCGTGGACTTCCCGCAAAGGTGCCCCCTGTACTGTCCTGTCCTGTCAAGGTGGGGTGACAGGCATAGCGGCGCAAAGGGCAAGTGCCCAGAGTCGCCTCTTCCGGCCGCCCAGACGCCCTCAAAAACGGCGACCCCCCCCCAACCCCGCGGCTGAAGGCCGGCGGCCCCTCTCCGCATCCAGGCCTGGCGGGGCCTGAGGCGGCGCACATCAGCGAGCACCATGGCTGCTCAGTGCCCCGCGTCCTGCCCCCCTGCCCCCCACCGCCCCACAGCACAAAGCAGGGGCCCTGCGGTGGCCTGCGCCCATGGCTGCACAGGGCGGGGGCCGCAACCGCAGCTCCTGAAGTGCCAAGACCACCGGGCTCATCCAGCCGGTGCCTGCGGGTCCTCGGGCCCCAGGTGCCGGCAGAAGCTCCAGGGACTCGTGGGGGCTAATGTGACTGCAGACGCCAGGCAGCCCGCAGCCCGGCTCCATTATCGTTCCCGCCTCGTTAGGGTAATTAAAATGAGAGTAATCAAAGCAACGGGGAATCTCTTAATAAACTGCCACGGCAGCGGCAGCGTTCAGGCCCAGGGGCCGTGCCTTTGTGAAGGTCGCCGGCTGCAGGCGGGCCAGAGCCAGACAGGAGGGCGGACCTTGCTCCGGACTCCCCGACAGGCCGGCCGCCGGGTCGTCCCAGGGCAGGGGAGCAGGGACGCAGCCCCCACGCTGTCAGCGCCCCAGCGCCCTGCCCTGCCGCGCCCGTGTCCCCACAGCGGGAGGCGCCTCCCCGCGTCCCTGTGGGGACGGGGCTTTGCCTGGCGCCGGGGCCCTTGGCCCCTGGAGGGGGAGGCGCCCTTGCCCAAGGCAGCACGACCTTCCCAGGGACCTGCCACCAGCCCACCAGGGGCCGCAGGGCGGCTGCCTGCACAGGGCCCTTCCGCCTGCCCGGGGAGCGGGGCGCAGGATCCCTAAAATATCCCCCGATGCTGCAGCCCTGTCCTCAAGTACAGTCGAGGCCACCCCAGCCCTCGGGCTCCTGTCACAGCTCCGCGGAGCCGCCTTCTGGGCCTCGCCCCAAGGAGGGGCCCGGGCCAGAGGGAGGAAGCTGGCCAGAAAGGGGCTGGACCGGCGGAGGGTCCAGTCTGCCCTCCCCGAGCTGGGAGGAGCCTGTGCGGAGGGGGCGGGGGCGGCGCACTGGGAAGAGCCCCCCGGGAATGCAGGGGGCCCCCTGGCCTGGGGGCGGTTTCCCTGGCGGCAGCCTGCAGGAGGCAGGTAGAAAGGGCCTGAGGCAGCCTGGCTGAGCTCCGAGCTCCGGGGGTGGCAGGGGCCAAGGCGACCCACTCCCAGCCACTTCCTCGTCTGTGAGGACAATGAGGATGTGGGGCGAGGAGTGGCCCCAAAGTGCAGTTTCACCCTGGCGTCCAGTGGCCCCGTACCCTGAGCCCCCCGCAGTCTGCCCCGTGTCTGTCCGGGGCCCGGGCCCCGCCCTGCGCTGGGGCTGGGGAGCGACGCCGCCGGCTGCGGGGCGGGGCCGGCAGAGGCTCCCGGCCGCTGGGGGCGCTGCTGAGCCGTGAGCGGCAGGTGTTGTTGCTCTCCAGGGAAACGCACCTGCCACCCCAGCCCAGGGCAGCGGGTCGCCTGGGAGCCCAGCCCCGCGGACGCTGTGGAGGAGCTCGCCCACCCCCGCTCGCCCCGCCACCAGCCAGCCTGGAGCGCCGCGCCATTCCCCTCTCCGCGCGCCCCGCACAGCCTCTAAGCACAAGCAAGTGACGGTGGGCACACGTGTGTGAGTATGCGTGTGTGTGTGAGCGTGTGTGCCTGTGTCTCAGTGTGCTCATGCGTGTCTGTGTCAGAGACCACTGATGGGGGGGGCTTGTCTGCAGGCGCTTTAGGAGACAAGGGGAGACAAGGCTGTTGGCACAATAGTCACTTCTCCAGGCCAGAGGGCGTGGGAGGGCAGAGGGGCACGGCCGGGGAACAGGCCCCCAAGCCCGGGCCAGTGGCTCCCCGCCACCACCCGAGGGCCTGGCAGGCGCCCCAGGCAGCCCAGCACCTGCCCCTGCCCCACAGGGCGCAGGCAGGGTAGCCAGGCGGGGGTGTGGTCCTGCAGGTGGGCAGGTCTGCAGAGGCTGGGGGCCACCGTGGGCCCCGGCTGACCCGGGCGGACAAGGGGGTCCCATCCTCCTGAGAGGCCTGTACGGGAGGGGCAGGGGGAAAGCGAGGGTCCGGGGTCCCTGACCCTCAGCGCACCGACTCCTGCCCATGAGTGCCCCGGGGCCGTCCTGAGTAGCACGCCCCACTCCGCAGAGCAGGAGGCCGAGGCCCAGAGGCAAAGCTGGGCCGGGAGCCTGGTCCCCACCCCCGCCCTGGGAGGCCGCCCGCAGAGCCAGCCCCCCCCACGGCTGAGCTCGCCCTGCTGCCCCTGCCCCTGGGTCTCGTGTGTGTGTCTTGGGAGGGCGGGGGGACCGGAGGCTGTGGCGCAGCAGGCCTGGGGGCTGCAGGGCCTGGGGGCTGACCGCCCTTCGAGCCCCGACCCCGCTCCCGCCCCGCCGCAGGTGCCGTGCGGACTGGACATGGGCCCCCCGGCAGCGCGGGCGTGATGTCGGCCCAGGAGCTCGCGGCCTGCCTGTGCCGGGAGGGCGACCGGCACCTGGCCCTGGGGGCACCCCCGCTGGCCACCGCCTTCTACCTGGCCGCCTTCAGCGGCCACGCCCCTTCCGCAGTGCGCAGCGTCCGGGCGGCCCTGGCTGAGGCCCGGGGGGCCCCCGTGGTGGCCACCCTGGAGGCCTGGTGCCGAGGGGACAGCCCGATCCCAGCCATCCACTGGGACGGCATGGCCGTGGTGTCCCTGACGGGGACCCTGGCCTCCGCCTTCCTGGCCACGCTGTGCCCAGACCACCCGGCCGCCGTCCTGCACTCCCTGGCCGGCCTGCTGGCGCACGGGCGCCACGGGGAGGTGGCGCGGCGGTGCGGCGCCTTGCTGGACGCACACTCCCAGCAAGCCCTGGAGCTGCGGCTGACCCGCGCCCTGGCCTGGGTCCTGTCCGGGGAGCAGGTGGACGCCGGCCTGGCCGACTACCTTCAGACCTTCGCCTCAAGGGCCGACCGCACGGTGGCCTTTGTCCTCGCCCACCAGCAGCCCTACCTCCCCGCGCTGGTCCGCGCCCTGCAGGACCACCTCTCACGGTGCCGGCAGGCTGGGGACAGCGCCAGCCCGCAGGAGGCCGACTACCAGGGGCTCCTGGCCGCCCTGGACCCCGGGGGCACCTGGAGCAACGCCCTGTCGCCGGAAGCCCTGCTCCGCGGTGGCCGGTATGAGGACTGCCGGGCCGCGTGCAGCCGGGCCCTCGAGTGCGACCCGCCCGGCGGCAGACCCCAAGGTAGGACCGCGGGCCGCGTCTCCCCAAGGGTCAGGGCAGAAGCCCCTCCAGCCGCTCCTCCGCGGCACAGTCAGGCCCTGCCCGTGGTGGGGGCAGGGGTCGTGCTGGGCCAGGGGCAGCGCGGGGGTGAGAAGGACAAGCCCCTGCCCTGACAGAGCGCCCAAGAAAAGAAGCAAACAAAAGAAGGCCTTCGAGAAAGGGGGCATGCGCGGGGTGCCTCGAGCCAGAGGGTCGGGAGGGCTCTGGGAGGGGTGCCGCCTGAGCTGCGGCAAGGCCTCGCTCGGCAGGAGCAGGCGGCACCAGGCGGCTGAAGGGGAGGAGCCCGGCGTGTAGGTGCCCCTGCCTGGGGCTCGGGCGGCTGTCGGGGCGGGGCCGTGGGAGGCCGAGGCCCTGCGGACAGCAGCTGTGGCCAAGCCTCCAGGCCACGAACATCCTCCGAGTTCCCCCTCCGAGGGGCGGGCGCGGGGCAGGGGGTGCGGGGGGGGGGGGAACTGCGACGTGAGGTGCTCTGAGCTCCGCCGGCAGAGGCTCCTCTGGCTGCTGCGCGCAGCCTGTGCCCAGGGAGCCGGGGAGAGCCCGGGCGGTGGTCCAGGCCGGGAGGAGGGCAGGGCTGGGGGCGGGGGGACCGGGCTCCCAGGAGGACGGGGCTGGGAGGCTGGAAGGAGAGGAGGTGGAGGATGGAGGAGGAAGAGGTGGAGACAGACGACGGGTCTGAAGCGGCATCGCTAAATCAGAAACGACAAGGTTGTGCCTGGGGTGGAGCAGGGGTGTGGGGAAAGGTCGGGAATGATTGTAAGAGCTCACCTTCGGCCCTGGAGGGTGTGGCTCTGTGGATCCAGTGCCAGCCGACGCACCAAATGCTCGCTGGTTCGATTCCCCGTCAGGGCACAGGCCTGGGTTGCAGGCCAGGTCTCCCGCGGCGGGTGCGTGAGAGGCAGCCACACATGGATGGATGTGTCTCTCTCTCTTCCTCCCTCCTCCTCTGTCTAAAAAAAAAATAAATAAAATCTTTTTTAAAAAAAAGTTCACCTTTAACAAGTGGAATGCAGAGGACAGGGAGCGGCAGGCGGGGAGAAGGGCGGTGCACAGGGGTTTTGCCCACGCCCAGCGTGAGGTGCGGCTGCTGCCCAGCCCCTTTGCTGGGTCCTCCTCCTGAAGGGGCCTAGTAGCGGGGTGGGTGGCAAGAGCTCCCGGGAGCCACACCCCAGCCTCCCTCGGGTACTCAGCCCCGCCCTGGCCGTCGGCCACCTCATGGCCACGCCCACCCCTGGGCCACGCCCACCCCTGAGCCGGGCTGCGGGAACCCAGTGAAAGGTGTGTTAAGCCTTCCTCCGCCCTGACTGCTTGAAGACAGTCCGCCCTCGTACACGACACGTGCCCGCTCCGGCCAGGACGTTCGTGGCCAGCAGGCAACCCCAGGAAACGAACGGTCGTCGACGTCCTCCAGGCCGGGAAGGCGACAGTGCCCAAGACAGAAACTGGGGGCAAACGAGCCAGAACGGACCAGACCGCACCAGATGTCATCGTTGTGTTCTGGTTCAGACCCCGCCTCGGCGGTGGCCAGGCCAGGGGCTCTGTCACGTCCTTGGATTACGCAAAGAAAACTGAGCCTGCGCACAGGCATGCACACCACGGCCCCGTGGGCAGAACAGAGAGAGCGCGCGGGCGCCAGGCGGAGGAGGCTGGGGCCGGGGGGCCGGGGCGGGCGCTGCACAGGTGACCCTCTGCGGTGGCCGTGCCGTCTGCATGGCAGGGCTAATAAGCTAAGGACTTTTATGTGTAAGAAAGAGAGAGACAGAGAGAGAAAATATGTATCACAACCTTAAAATCACTCCTCACTCACTGTGCCACCGAGTGCTCCAAGAGACGTGCTCCTTTGTGCCAGTCGAGTGGATGCATGATTGGGACACACGAGTCTTGAGATGAGAGGGCACTCGGTGTGAAGAAGGCGCGTTGGCATCGTCCACCCAAAGGAGCCACTTAGAGTCAAGAGTCCAGACGGAAGGCGTGGGGCAGCCGGACACTCAGAGGTGGGGACGTGAGTGTTGGGGCCACTCGTCACACAGCAGCGAGCGGACCCCGTGCTAAGGGCCGGACACGCGTGCTCCTGGGGTCCCCTCCACCGCCCTCAGGGCAGGGGCAGCCGCACCCCCGTACCCGCGGGACTGCGAGGCCACGGAGTGTCCGCGGCGGCCTGGACTCTGGCCCCCAGGTGCTCCTCACCGCCCACCACACTGCCCCCCAGAAGAGCAGCCGGCAAAGGGGCGGGACAGAGAGAAGGGGGAGCGTGGGAGCCCGCAGGACGCTGGCCGACGGCCAGGGCCGGCGAGGGCGCGCCGGACGCAGGGCTGTGCTCGGGGCGCGCGCTGCTGCCCCCCGGTGGAGGGGTCTTCAGCCGGACTGGCCGGGGAGACCTGCGGAAATCCGGAGCCCCCCAACGAGCTGCAGCCTCAGAGAACCAGTGTGCTAAACACCGGCGCCCCCTCCTCAGGGGAGGCTGCCAAGAAGCTTGTCTGCCCTGACGCGGCTCTGAAAACTGCACTCCCCGGGCCTGAGTCCCTTGCATCACGGGAAGTCACTTGTCTCCAGCAGCACAAGTGTGGCTTACAATGTGAACAAAGAAATTCCCCATCACAAGACTGTCACAAATGCAGTTTCCTGTGACAACGTATTCTCATCTTCTGGTTACTAATCAAGAGCCCTTGCAAGCATTGACAGGCCTGTATTCTGGGAAGTGCGCTGCCCTTCTCGGCACGCAGGCACGCAGGGACGAGGCCCCGACGAAGAAGAGCCTTAGCTCGCATCGCGCCCCGTGTGAGCCTCTATGTGCCGTGGTTCCCTGAGCACGTGTCCCCCGAAGCACCCGGGCAACCATCTCCATGGGCGCAAGGCTCTTCATTAGGAACTACACAGAAAGGGACTCTACATCAGAAACCTCCCCAAAACATCATACTTAATGATGACATGTTAGGAGCCTTCCATTTAAAATCAAGAATGAGGTGGCTACCCCTCTTCCATTGAGCCATCGTTGTACTGGAGACGCTCGCCAATGCAACAAGATAAGAAAGGAGGAAGACGGGCAAGGCACAAAAGAAGAAACAAACTTATCATTCCACACAATGTAATCAGCTATGGAGAAACCCCCAAAGAAATAACAAAAATGTATCAAATAGAGGAACAGAATTTAACAGGATATACAAAAAGTATTAATATTTATAGATACCAGCAAGAAATAGAAACTTTGTGGTTTAAACACATACCACTTACCAGAGAATAATTTCAGAGTCATGTGATTTTTATGAATAAAATTACAAAAGTTTATTAAAAGATAAGAAAGGGTAATTACATAAGTAGAGAGGTGTTCAATGTCCATTGCTGTTAGAAAGATTTGATAATATAATAGAAGAGCGAAGGGCCAATAGCGGACAAGATGAAGAAGGAAGGGGGAGGAGGAGGAGGAGGAGGGAAGGCGGGGGAGGAGATGGAGAAGAAGGTGCTGGTATAAGGTTTGGCTCTACCAGTTGATGCAAAAGCACACTAACCAAGCAGGCTTAAGGGATAGCTGGAATGACTAATTAAACAAATTATTCCAGAAACACAACCGCCTGGACCTTAATGTGTGAGCGTAAGCTTTGTAAATCTATGGTGAAAGAGGCAGGACCACTATTCGGTGGACAACGCTGACGCCCCACCTCAGCCCAAGCCCAAACGTGGGGCCACGGGGACTACGTCCTTAGCTGAGGTCTACGGAAACGGACGTGTAAGAAATTATCCGTAAGACGTCTCTGAACAGCTGGGCTTGTTAAGATACAGAAAGTGAAAAGAATAAAGGAAAACTGGATACATTTGATGAAATTAAAACTTCTAACTTTCTGTTTTGCCCATAAATATAGCAAAGGAAAGCATAAGCCACAACAAAGAAAGAAGGGTTGCAAAATAAACAACGCGCAAAAAATTAGCCCCCAGAGTGTTTGAAGAATTCCTCTGTGTCGAGGAAAAAATAAAGCCTGGTGCTAGAACTGGCAAAAACTGTTCCCCGAAGAGGAAACACAGGTGGTCAGTGAGCATGTGGGGAATGTCCGACATCGAGCAACGGCACAGACGCGAGAGACAACAAGCTGCCCCTTTCTACCACAGTGGGGGGGGGGTGTTTTTAAATAAATGAGCCTCACTAGTAATCAGGAAAATGAAAATGATGCCCGCGTAGGGGCAGCACTGTGTTCCCCCAAATGCCAGGCCTTCTGAGTCTAACACCGGGAGAGCCTGGCTTCCCATCCGGGTGGCGTTGCTCGGCCCTGCGCCCCGCCGACAGCAGGGAGGGAGAAAGCGGGGACAAAATATAAAATGCAGCCCCTTGAAGGCACGGGACACTGGCCAGCGCAGGCGAAAACTGGCCGCCAATCCTAGGAATACGGGGGCCGTGGAAGGCGAGGTTTGCAGGCCTGCAGCTTTCTGCCTGAGGAAAGCTCTCAGTGCAGGTTTTATCCATGTGGCGCAGAGCGCGGCAGCTTTATGGGCGTGCATTGGCATAGGCCGCGGCGGGGCTGCAAAACGTGGCGGGACCGTTAGGAGGGAAGTTCTGCAAAGGAGGAAGCCACGGGAGGGCTGAGACCCAAAGTCTGCGTCCTAAATCCACTTAAACCCGCAGCCAACCTCCAAAGCCCACACGCCAGGGAGACCTGGGTGGTCGAAAAAGCGGAAGCTGGAAACTGTGAGGACTTCATGGACACTCCAGCTGCCAGTTGGATTCGATCCAATTTCACTGCCCACTGAAACAAAATTCTGTTCTCTTCAGAGGCACATAACTGGCTGCAGGCTCTACAAAGCACCCACCGGATGTCTAGTGTACAATTTGAAAAAATGCTAGACATGCAAAGAAACAGGAGAATAAAATGGGAGCCACGGTTGGAAAAAAAAAAAAAGAAGTCACTAGAAACTGACCTCGAGATGACCCAGGTGCTGAAATCACCATGCTAAGGGCTGTAAGGGAACTAAGAGTAACACACGCAAGGGCTAAAGGAAAAGATGGCCGTAATGAATGAACAGATGTGGCATCTCCCCACGGAAATGGAAACAGTAAAAAGCCTAGAGCTGAAGAGCACACTAACCAACGAATGATGTCGCCACCTGCTGGAGGGAGCAGAAGGGCCGGTGAGCTTATCCAGGAGGACGAACAGAACAAAAACTCACAGAGCACCCTGCCCTGAGGGACAACACAGAGAAGTCCAGGTTGTGTCCCTGGAGGTGCAGGAGCAGAGCAGAGCAGAGGACGCTCTGCCGTGTGGGAAGGAAGAGCCGCTCGCCCAGCCCCATGCTGCGGGAACAGGGTTGTTTTGTCAGGAGTGAGTAGCTGGCAGAAAGGGCTCGGGTTGTTTTGGGTTTGTTTTTTTTTTAAGATTGTATTTCTTTATTTTTAGACAGAGGGGAAGGGAGGAAGAGAGGGAGAGAAACATCCACATGCGGTTGCCTCTTGGCGCCCCCCGCACTGGGGACCTGGCCCACAACCCAGGCCTGTGCTTTGACTGGGAATCGAACCGGCGACCCTTTGGTCTGCAGGCCGGCGCTCAGTCCACGGAGCCACACCAGCCAGGACTCAGGTTGTTTTGCTGGGGTTGCTTTGTTGTTTGTTTCGTTTTGTTTTTGTTTTTACTTTGTCCACCAGGATTAGACAGGGTGACCCTGCGGTTGGTCGCTCCATTGGCTGGTCGATCGCAGGGCACAAGGTGCTTTTCGTACTTGGCTCTGGGCCGTGACACGTGGCGCTCACCCACAGTGGCAACAGGGCAGGGCGGTGCAGGCTGGCCCCACGCCCACTCCTGTCCCACTGCCAAGGACCGTCACTGTCCCGGCAACTCTGTCAGGCTACAAGGAAACGCCCTGAGAATTCGGAAGGACCCCGTGCCAAAGCACTCATGTGGGGGTTCGGAGACCTGGGGTGGAGGCGCGCAGGGGCCCTGAGGACGTCCCCCCGCCCCGCCGCCACACTGTCCCAACCTGTACCTTGACAAGGGGCGCCCGCAACCTGGAGCTCCCGCCGGCACCGAGGTTTCTGGGGCTCTCTCAGAGGCGTGCACCTGTCGGGGTGCTGCTGGGGGTACGGGGGCGACTCAGCTTCCCGCACTCACGAGAGCCCTCGCTGAGTAGCACTGCCTGTCAGGCCCTCTTCCGGGCACCGGGCACCCCTTCATCCACCTCCTCCCCGCAGCTCTGTGACCGCAGACGCCATCATCCCATTAGAAAGCAGAAGTGGAAACTGAGGCACGAGAGTTCCGTAAAAGGCCGCCGTCCCTACTCCCGCCAGCCGCATCCCCTTTCCTGGGCCTGACGGGGGGCGTCTCTGTTTGGGGGAGGGAAGTAGTGAGTCCCCACGGAGCCCCGAGAAGAACAGAAACAGGCGCATCACTGAGGGCCGGCCCCTACCTAGGTCAGGGATCCCGACCTCGGCTCCGACCTGGAGCTGATCCCAGGAGGGGGAACTCGACCCCAAAATGTATTATTAAAAGTTCGGGGTGAGGGGCTGGGGAGGAGGTGTTGTAACTAAATGTCCCTGTTGGCTGAGCGGTGAGACAGACTCCGGACACTGAGGGGGCCCAGGCTGGGGAGGCGTCTGGGGCAGCTGCCCGCACCCCCCGCCCCCGCCCCCGCCCCCACCCGGGCTTCTCATGCCGCTCCACCACCGACAAGGCCTCCTGCCCGCGTTCCTCCCCGATGTGCAATGTCCTGGGAGATGTCGCAGCAGAAATGCTCCCGAACGTCCAAAGGCTGGGTGGTTGGGGCGCGACAGGTGGGACCCCCTCGCCCCCGCAGCACCCGGCCCAACAGGCCCTCTGTTCTCTGCCCCAGGTGAGCGTCTGGCCGCCTTGCTGGTCACGCGCGCGGCCGCGGCCTTCTTCCTGGACAGCGGCGCGCAGGACCTGCTTCGGGACCTGCACGAGGCCTTCCGCCAGAGCCCCTCGGGGGCGCGGAGGCAATTCGAGGCCGTGCTCTCGGCGGAGGACCGGCAGCGCGTGCGGACCCAGGCGCAGGAGGCGGCGGACGTGGGTTTTGCCCACTTCCAGGAGGCCGTGCGGAGCCGCCCCGAGCTCCGCGAGGACTCGGACCGCGAGCTGCTGGCCCCGGTGACCCGCGCTCTCCGCGTGCTGCTGCGCGTGGCGCCGCCCGGGGAGCGCCCGGCCCTGGCAGCCCGCCTGGCCGAGTGCCTGCTGCTGGCCGGGGATGCGGCGGGCGCCCGGGGGCTGTGCGAACGCCTGCTGAAGCCCACACGCCCCCGGGATCGTGCGGGCGAGCTCGCCGGGGACCGTGCGCCTCTGCTGGCGCTCCGCGGCTTCTGCGCGCTGCACGCCGGCGACGCGCCGAGTGCCCGGGAGGACTTCCAGGAGGTGGTGGAGCAGGGGCCTCCGCACCCGGGCGGCTGTGTGCGTGCCCTGTGCGGCCGCGGGCTCCTGCGCGTGCTAGCGGGCAGCGCGTTCCTCGGCGCGCTGGACTATGTCACCGCCTGCCGGCTGCGGCCCGACGAGGCCCTGCTCGTCGCCAAGGCCTACGTGCCCTGGAACCAGCGCGGGCTGCTGCTGACCGTGCTGCGGGAGGAGGGCCGCAGGATGCTGCAGCGGAGGCCGGGCCCAGGACCCCCAGGCGCGCGCGGCCGCCGGAGTCAGGCCGCGGAGAGGGACAGCTCGCCGGCGCCGGAAGGGTAAACACTAGCCCCGCGTGCGCCCTCGCGGGCCGCTTCCCTCTGGGCTCCTGCGAGGCGGCCAGGTGTGTGTCTTCCCGTCTCGCCCACGGGTGGGCTGCGGCCGGGAGCGGCTGGGCGATTTCTTTAACCGGTTGGAGGCAGAGTTACCGCCAGGGCCCTCAGCCCTTAACCGCCACGCATTAAGGGCTGACTTGCAGGAAATTAGAAACTCAAACACAGAAATGAAAACGGAAAGCTGCTTACACATCGCCCCACCGTTCGCACCCCTTCCGGCCGGCTCTCTCTGTGCACGTGAAACCTGGGTCACAAAATGAGCCGCGCTGTACGTGCGATTTATAGCGCTCGGTTTTTCACTCAGGAGATCGCAAACTTCCTGTGCGGTCACCATGTTCCCCGCAGCCCCAGAGCCGGTCCCTACCATCATCCTACAGCTCCGCTGAGTCATCCCACCTCCCCGGTGACATCCTGTCCCCGCCCCCACCCCGCTGCGCCCTTAACCCAGAGGCCGAGGGGCGTTCCTGGGTCAGGGAGTGTGGCTCCCTGAGGCCCTCGACTTTGAGAGCTGCCGCCTGCCCATCTGGTCCCTCACCCAGGCCTGAGCCTCCTCTGCAAACTCTTCGCTGGCCGGGGGGTGACTCCACAGCTGTTTTGAGCTGCAAGCACTGAGCTGGGGGCCTCCTGGGGGCTGCGTTTGATGTCACCCCCCCCCCACACACACACACACACAGGCACATACTTCCTCTGCCGGCTGGCTGCTTGGTTTGCATTGCTTTGATTTGCGAGCGAGGAGGAATTTTCTCCCGGGTGCTCGGGACCCTGTGTACGGTTCTCTCTGGGGATTTTCACATTCCAGGGCCCCGCCCCTTCTCGCAGCAGCAGTTTGGTTCACTTTCCGGGGACACCAGGAGGACCCCCTGGTGTGTTTTCTGCTCTGCCTGCCACGCACCCCTGAGCCCACCAGTGCAGACACTGTCACCCTGTTTTTGCAGAAAAGGAACGTCGGGCAGGGTTGGCTGGGGTCACCACACGACCTCGGGTCGCCCCCCCAAACCCCTGTGAGATGCCTGCCCCGCGGGGCGGTGGGAGCAGCACCTCTGAGGGGCCTTCCAGCAGCATCCTGGTGCCTGCGTCTCGGCAGGAAGGGAGCTGCCTGGCCGGCGCGAGAGCTGGGACGCGCCTGCTGCCGGCCTGCAGGCGTTGGGGGGATGTAGGGAAGGGGCCCGCGCGCCGCCAGCTGCTCTCTCTGCAGGGACACCCAGGGCGTGTACCAGCTGGCCGTGCTCCTGACGGAACTGGACCCAGAGGACGAGGCTTCACGCCTCCTGGCAGCCGATGCCCTGTACCGCCTGGGCCGCCTGGACGATGCCCACAAGGCGCTGCTGGTGGCCCTCTCCCGGAGGCCCCAGGCGGCCCCTGTGCTGGCGCGGCTGGCGCTGCTGCAGCTGCGGAGGGGCTTCTTCTACGACGCCAACCAGGTGAGGTCGGGGGCCCCTCGCTCTGCACCCCACAACCTGGACTTTGCCTGAAGCAGGCAAAGCTAGCCCCTGCCCCAGGCTCCTCACCCATGCCCTGGTCCTGCGGGTTGCCACAGGGATTAGCTGCAGTGGGTGCCCCCGGCCCCCGCAGGCCTCCAGCATGCAGTAGGCACCCCATGTTTGCTTTCACTGTGTCATGAAGAAGAAGGGCCAAGAGTCAAGTGCAGGCCGAGCTTCGCCCCAAACCTCCCATGTAAACTCGCAACTCGGCATTGACGTGACCCTGCTCGGGACCGCGGGTGGGGGGGGGGCGGTGTGGGGCCCCCAGGCACTGAGGCCCAGCTTGCCCCGCTCCAAGGCTGCTCTGCTCCCAGGAAAAGCAGAACCTCGCCTCCCTCTGGTGTTACGAGGGCTTCCCGCTGGAACGTGGTCAGAAGGTTGCGTTCCAGGGGAAGAGGCGGGGCTTTGGGGCAGAGGCCTGCCTGTCCTTCCCCTCCTTCGGGTGCCTGGCGCCCCTGCGCTGGGCGATGCAGGTGCGAAGGAAGGATGCTTTGGGGCCTGTGTCCCCAGCGAGCGAACAGCCGGAGCACCGCCGGCTCTCTTCGGGGTGGAGCTGCCCTGAGCTCCAAGGTCATGTCCACCTGGTGTCTCGCTCCCAGAACGGGCGTTGGCCCCAGGACTTTTGCTTCTCTGCTTCCGACGTCACGGAGGAGGGGGCGTGGCTCAGGGGCACTGGGACACCCCGAACCCCGCCATGCAACGGAGAGGAGCAGCCCCAAGGGACGCTCACACCTCCCGAACCGCAGCCTTCCCGGTGCTCCGCGCTGGGGACAAGCAGTCTTTGCCCCGCTACGAGCCACGCCCGGGAGCCACGCCCCCTTGCAAGCCACTCCCTTTGAGGGCCACGCCCCCACTAGTTACACTCCGCCGCGGGCTACGCCCCGTAGGCCCCGCCTCCTTGGGCCAGGCCTTTGTCAGTCACCTGCAGGACTCGCCCCTCTGAGCCACCCCCTTGGCCACGCCCTGTGAGCCAGGTCAGGAGCGTGGGGGTGGAATGGACTGGGGCACCGGGAGGGACTGCGGTGACTGTCCTGCTCCCTGCAGCTGGTGAAGAAGGTCGTCCAGTCCGGGGACACGGCCTGTCTCCAGCCCACCCTGGATGTCTTCCGCCCAGAGGACCGGCAGCTGCTGCGGGGCCACTGCCACGCGCGGGCCCTGGCCATCCTGCGAGCGCAGCCAGGAGGGGCCGAGGGCGAGGCCCACACCAGGGAGGCCATCGCCTACCTCTCTCTGGCCATCTTTGCTGCAGGTGGGAGCCGCCCACCTGCCCATCCACAGGGCCCCCATCCCCGGCCAGCTGCATGGGGCATCGGGAGCCCCTGCCGGCCCCGGGGCGGGGGGCCCGAGGGTCCAAGCACGCCTTTGGTCCGTGGGTTCCAGGCTGTGTGCTCCCAGGCCCTGGCCAAAGCCCGGGAGAGGGGCCAGGCCGGGTGGAGCACGAGGGCGGGAGGGCCGGCTGAGGCCCTTCCACAGCTTTGCTCATCGCCCCCGCGCTGTGCGAGGTGAGGGCTCTCCTCCCGAAGCCCTTCCCGGCAGTGGTGGGCGCGTCTCTGGTCTGTGCGCCTGGCCTCCCCGCTCACCCAGCCCACCCAGCCCACCCACCGGCCTCGCCCTGGGCCCTGGGTGCCGGGCAGGGCCTGGCCAGAAGGTTGCAGGTGACAAGGAAGGTACGTTCCCAAGGAGGCCCAGTGAGTCCCGGGGGTGGCCAGGGCTCAGTGCGGATTTCTGGCTCTGTGCTTTCGGGGCGCCTCCCCTCCGAGGAGGTGATGGGGGCACCGGAGTGGGATGGGAGCGAGGGTGGGGAGCGCTGCCTCCCACGCGGCCGGGCCGGTGCCGGGGCAGAGTCCGCACCCCGCACGCGTTCGCTGGGAAAGGGCATGCCCCCAGGTGTCCTGCAGAGCCCAGGCCTTGTTTCCTGTGTCCGCCGCTGGGCACACACGTGGAAGAAACGTGGCGGTGACAGCCTCTCTGAGGAGAGGACTCTGTGCCCGGGATTCGCAGGCCTCCTCCCTGCCTTCCCGGCACCTTCACGCTTGTGGCCGCTTCACGCCCAGCCCTGAGGACCCTTCCTCCCCTGGGCCCTCTCCTCAGATGCGGCTGCAGTGCCCCCTTCTCTCGGAAGCCCCTCCTGACTGCCCACCGGCCCTCCCAGGCGCCACTGCCCCTCGCTGTCTCGGTGCCCCGCGGTCTGTGAGCTCCCCGAGGGGGCCCACAGCTGGCGCACCACCGGGCACCCGATGGGGCACTGTGCCCGCCCGCGGTCAGCAAAGGGTCCTGATGCCGCCCACCCCTTCCTCCAGGGGGCCAGGCAAGCGAGTCCCTGCTCACCCGCGCCCGATGTTACGGGCTCCTGGGCCAGAGGAAGACCGCCATGTTCGACTTCAACTCCGTGCTGCGGGCTGAGCCGGCGAACGTGCGGGCCCTGTGCGGCCGCGCGCTGCTGCACCTGGCCCTCGGCCAGCAGAAGGTGCTGCCCCGGCCAGGCTGGGCAAGTAGGGTAGAGGGTGCTTTGGGGCAGGTGCCTCCTTCCTCCTCAACCCCCAAGAAGAGAGGGAGCAGGGGTCCGGCCACCCTCACTGTGAGACACCCATCCAAGCCCCCCTGCCCTGGGGCTCACGGGAGACTCACCCTCTCACCCCCAGTTTCAGGGTCCTCCCCTGTCGCCTGATGAGTCCCGGGCCTCTCAGCGTCCGTCAGCACAGGAACACGAGCCAACCCTCAGGGCTACCACAGGGCCCCCCGCTTAGAATACTGAGGCTTCGGCCGCTGTCTTGGGTGCCACCCAGCCCTGTCTACAAGCGCCTGTGGGTCCGGATCATCAGGGTTCAGGGCAGGGCGGAAGGGTCTGCTGCCAGGCCCGGGGCAGGTGCTTATCACAGGGAAGACGTGCCCAGAGGCCCTGAACAAGGCCCTTCTCAGCCAAGAGCAAGGCCCCTGGCAGGCGACTGCACCTGGCTCTCCGCCCGCAGCTTCTCTTGGGAAAGAGCCGCCCAGAGGGAGCCGCCTGCCAGGTCCTCCCACTTGCTGCAGGGCTGCCCAGCGAGGAAGCACAGGAAACAACCCCAGGGCAACCCAGACAGCTCCGGCTCTGGCTTCCGCCCTTCGGGATGCGCCTTTCCCTCCAGGGTGCGGGTGCCTGGGACCTGTTCCAGCCCGGGCGCCCCGCCCGGGCCCCGCAAGCATCCCGGGGCTGCAGCGACAAGCCCATGGAGCCAAGATGGGATCCGGCCAGGAACACGTCCTTTGGGCTGACACCCCTCTCCCAGCTGTGAGAGGGAAGGGACTGGGCTGTCTTCGCCTCCTGGGGTCCCCAGGCACAAGGTGGGGGACAAACACCCAGCTGGGGCCCCTTCTGCCACCCCACCCCCGCACTCTGCTCCTGCAGGAGGCCGTGGACGATGCCCTGTCGGCTCTGCAGCTGGACCCGCACGCGGCGGTCCCTGAGATCCGCGCTCTGAAGCCCGAGGCCCAGGCCCTCATCGCACGGGGCCTGTCATCCCGCTGCCGGGGACTCCTGAGCCAGCGGCCCGCCTCCGGGGCCCCCCTCAGTGGCAGGGACGTCCAGGGCCTCCTCGCCGTGGCGGAGGCCCTGACTAGGATCGAGGCCGGGCTGCCGAGCGGGCACATGCTCCTGGTGGACGTGCTCACCGCGCTGGGTAGGCGGCCACCCGGTCCGGGAACAAGCTCTCAGTCCCGGCTCCTGCCAGCCCTGGAGTCCAACCTGTAAAACCGGAGGGAGATCCCAGACTCGGTGGCTTCTGCAGTCCCTTCCACCCGCACCCTGGTTCCTGGGGCCTGGTCCCCACGCGGGCCTGCTGTGTGCGAAGTGTCTGTAGCTCCGGGGCACTGATGTGGCTTTGCCTGCAGGGAGGAGAAATGAAGTGACTTGGGGCTTCCTACAGGGACCCAGACCCCATATGGGCGGGGCTATCTCACGCCCAAAAGTGCCTGAATGTCAGCCTCTCCCAAAACACTCGGAGCACGTTCCAGCACTAACTCTAAAAGCGAGGTCTCCGTGCAGACTGCACCCCCTGCCTGTCACCCTCGCCTCGGAGCCCTGAGCCTCCAGGGAACCTGGGCGCAGCTCCCACCCCCTGTTGTCCTGCTCCCGTGGGTGCCCAGGAAAGAAAGGCCATGGTGAGGGCTCCAAGCCATGGCGCTACGCCTGGGGGGCGTAGACTCCAGTGACCTGCCCTGCACCCCGAGGTGGGGCTACAGGGAGCAGGCAAGTCCGCATGATCAGCATGGTGTCACCGGGTCCCTCTGCTCCTGGCTGTGCCTCCCGGTGCTGAGCCCCTACCCAGCGCCGCTCTGACTGTCCTTCCTGAATCCCCGACAGGCAACTACGAGGAGGCTGGCGCCTGCCTTCAAGAGGCCCTGCGCTCCACCCAGCCATCAGCGGCAGCCCGGGCCCGGCGCGGCCTGCTCCAGCTCAAGAAGGGAGACGTGCCAGCTGCTGCCGGGGACCTGCAGTGCCTGGCGGAGGCCGACACTGAGGACCTCGGCTTCCTGCTGCGACTCCTGGAAGCCTCGGAGCAGCACAGCCTGGCCCAGGTGCATACGGCACCCCACGGAGTCCCCACGTCAGCCCTCCCCAGCTCCCCGGGAGCTCGGCCTGTGTGCATCCCCTGTGCACTGACTCCACGTGGGGGTACGGGGGTGTGGGCAGGAGGAACCGGTGTCGCCCTCTCAGGTTTTGTCACTCCCGGCAATTTTCCGGCTTCTCTGCATGAGGAACAGGTGGCTTGAGTCAGGGGAGAGGAAGGGGACCCCCTCAGAGCCGGGCAGAACCAGCCAGGAGCACGTCACTCTAGCAGGAAGCCCAACCCACCCCAGGGCAGGCCCCGAGAGATGCGCGCCTCCCAGTGAGAGGGGAGCTGGGGAGCCGAGAGAGGGCTGCAAGAGGACAGCAGGCCGGGCTCTCCGCCTCTTTGCTTGGCTGATGTTTCATTCCACTCTTGATCCGACCAGAACGTGGGAACACCTTCTCCCAGGTGCTGAGTGGAGCCACAGCCCCGCCCGGTGGCCCTCGAATCTGGGGGAAGACAGTGGGGTTCATTTCAGAGAGTGTCCGTGTTGCAGAGTCCCTAGGACAGGGCAGCAGGGTAGCCAGGGCGCATGGAGGGTGGAGCCGTGGAGGGAGACACAGGCCAAGGCGCGGCCTGGACCGACGACAGCGCTCAGGTGCGGCTGACGTGGCTGCGTGGAGGGCGCGGGGGCGGGGCTGGGAGGGGCTTCGGGCCTAAGCTCTCCGGCAGCCCCTCTCGGAAGAGCGCAACAAGTCCTGGGTGTGGGCAGACCGCCTCGCCCCCTCTGCTTGCCCCGGGCGCAGGGTGGGCACGGAAACGGTCCTTCCCGGCGCGGCTGGATTCAGCTTTCGCGCGGAGGGAGGGAGAGAGGCCAAGAGCGCCGCCTGCTCAGGGGTCAGAGGACGCGGGGCTCCCGCCCGCCCGTGCGGCCGGGGCGCCCAGGGCTGTCCTCAGTTCTGGTGTTCGCGCCCGCCGGGGCGCCCAGGGGTGTCCTGAGTTCTGGTGTTCGCGCCCGCCGGGAAGAGGAGCAGCCCTGGGTGTTCCAACAGGGCGTTGATTTAATAGAGAGTTGGCTGCACGCAAAGCGCAATGGGTAATGCGAATGCGGAAGGCGTTGCCACCGGGGGTGGGGGACCCAGGGAATGAGACAGTGTCGTCGGGACCAAGAACGCAAGAGGAGCCGCGTAGCGGGCGTCGCTGGGCGCTGGCTGGGGTGTGCGGGGCCGCTTGGAGGCTGGTTTAAGCCGCTGGGGGCGGAGGAAGAGGGGGAACCCACGCGTTGCCCAGAGACGCGGACCAACCGGAAAGGAGCCGGAAGTGGTGGCGCCCCGCTTCCGGCGGCGGCACTGCGCCTGAGCGTGGCTGGTGGCACAGCGCGAAGCCTGTCGGGAGGGCTTTGCGCCTGCGGGGCGGTTCTGCCCGGAGAAGTGGACCCGCTGGGTAGCGTCGCGCAGCTGAGAGGTGAGCTGGGCTCCAGCGGGTCCCGGGCCGCCCTGCCCGCTCTGCGCGCTGCCCCTCTGGTAGGAAGACAGAACCGCAGCGCCCGGGAAGGAGCCCCAGCTACGACGCTGCGGACAATGGACACTGGTCCCGGCCAGGCCTCCCTCCCCCGCCCAGCGCATACATCTGCACCTCAGTCTGGGACCAGACAGCGTCCCTGCGGAGTGTCGGGGCGCCCTGTGCCTCCCCTGGGGTCAGGCGCGGAGGTGGCGTTAGTACATCCTGGCTGCATCGAGGAAAGAACGGGAGGGACAGGCAGGGTCTCCGTGTGCCTTATTCTTCCGTGGGGGCCACGGGGTGGAGGGAGCCATATGAGGCCAGCGGCTCATCCACGGGACGGGGCAGAAAGGTTCGGAGAGCGGGCTGCAGCCATGCTTAGAAAAGGAGGGCGAGTCTGGAGGCAGACAGCGAACGGAGCCCCAGGCCTTGCCCTGGAGGGCGCTGGAGTAAAGCACGGAGGACGCAGGAGGACGAGGTGGCAGCAGCCTGTCCCCAACTGTGGCTGGCTCTGCAGGGCCGTAGTGAGAAGCCTACTCGTGCTTCCTGGCCTTGGGCCCGCGGAGGGTCGCAAAGAGCAGGCTGGGCAGAGGCAGGGTTTGCTGCTGTCCCCAGGGCCAGCTGGCAGCCTTGGGAGGGCAGCAGGGTAGCAGGGCCACTAGAGGCAGGTGACTTCGGAGAGGAGCGGAGGGAGGGAGGGAGGGAAGAGGTTGCCCAGGCGGGGACAGTAGTAGGCCAGGGAGGGGGAGAAAGGAGTGTGGAGGACCCCTGACCGGCCTGCGGAAATTCCAGGCCGGCGGGCTTGCAGGGAGGGGCCCCCCTTCCCCAGGGCACTCGGGCAGCCCCTCTGTGGGGGGCCAGCAAGGGGCTGTGACATTCTGGGCTGACCTGCGCTCCCCTCCTCTGTCCCCTCTGCAGGCCGCAGCCCAGGAAGCCCGCTGCCTCCTGACCGCGGGGCAGCCCCGGCAGGCACTGGGCTACTGCTCGCTGGCCGTCCTGGCCAGCGGAGGCAGCGCCCCTCACCTCCGCCTGCGGGCCACTTGCCTGGCGGAGCTGCAGGAGTTTGGCCGGGCGCTCGCAGACCTGGACCTCGTGCTGCGGGAGGGTGCGCGGGACGGCGACCCCCTGCTGATGGCGGAGGACTTTTGTTCCCGGGGCTGCCTGCTCCTGAGCCTGGGGGATGAGGCCGGGGCCGCGGGGGCCTTCGCCCAGGCCCTCAGGCTGGCACCCAGCGCCGCGCAGGGCAGCCTGGGGGCGCGGCCGGGCCGGGCCCCCGCCGCCCAGCTGTTGCTGCGCCATGGGCAGCGCTGTCTGCACGGGCAGCGGCTTGCAGAGGCCTGGGCGGCGGCGGAGAGCGGGCTGCTGCTGGACCCCGAGCATGGCGGCCTGAGGAGGCTGAAGGCGAGGACCCGCAGGGAGGCGGCCTCGGGCTGCCGGCTGCACTGACCCTGCGCCCGCCGGGCCCGGTCTCCTGGCCACCCTGTCGCTTTTCCCCCGAACCGGGGAGCTGCTCGCCCCGCCCTCCCGTCCTCCAAGCCCCGGGGCTGGTGCGCGCGCGGTGGACAGCCAGTCCCGGCACGCAGAGAGAAGGGCGTCCCGTGGGCCTGGAGCGACCGTCTTGGGAGGCCCGGGTCCCCTTGCTGCAACAGCGTCGTGGTCCCCCAAGCTGGGCCCTCATGGCCCTGGCAGGGGGCCGGCAGGTTGGACCGGACTAAGGTCAGCCTCAGGCGGGCCCCCCAAGCCCCCAGCTCCCCAGCTGGGGCCTGCCGGCTGAGACGCCTGCTTTCATGAGGCCGTTCTCCTAGAGAGCCCGGTGCCCAAACCCATCGCTGTGGCCACGGGGACGATGTGATGTGGAGAGAGAGCGCCTGCCCCGCTGATGAGCAGAAGGCAGGGCTTCCCTTCCGCTGCTCCGGCTAAGCTGTGGGGACGCAGAGGGCGCGTCCCCTGTGGATTGCACTTGCTGTCGGTTTGCTTGGAAAACCCTCTGGGAGGGGGCAAGGAGTGCAGTCTTGCCCGTGGCTGGGGGCCAGTCTCAGAGAAGCTGGGGCCAAGCGACAGGGGTTTTCTCTCGGGTTCATGGGCGAGCCTTGCTGGACGGGCCACTTTGAACACCGGGGGACAGACCAGGTGGAGGCCATGGCCACCTGCCAGGCTGTGCGCTGGCTTCTCCTACCTCTCAGTTTGCTTCCCGCCTTAACTGTCCCTCCCCTCACCCACCACAGAGCCACCTGCTCGGCACCCCACTGGCCTGTCAGGGTGCAGCCGGGCCACAGCCCCGCCCCCCAGGCCACGCCTTCCCTGAGTGCCAAGCCCAGGCCGCTCAGGCCCCAGCCCCGCCTCCCTCTGCGTTCCTGGGCTCAGGAGACATCGCAGATGGCTCTGGGAGCCACACAAGGGCCCCGGTGACTCCTGTGGACAAGTCTGCTCTCAGGCCATGAGGTGGGGCTGGCCTGGGGTCAAGGCCAGAGGGGAAGGCCCAGCACCTGAGCTTCGGGAGGACAGAGGCAGTGGGGGCACTGCCCCCGCAGGCGCTCGCACCTGCCCCCCCCCACTTCCTGCCCCCCCCCCCCGCCCTCAGGCACCTCCCCACAGGGGGCGGCACTACCCATCACTGCTGTCTTGTGCCTGTGTCACCATTGTCAGCCTGCGCCTGGCCTGGCCCTGCTCCCCACCCCCCATCTCCGCCCTGAAAGCCGACAGCCAGGCCTCGTCGCTGCCCCCGCTCCTGGGGGCCACACTGCTCCCAAGGGGCCCCTACCTCGGCCCGTGGCAGGGGCAGTAGCTGGGAAGGTGCTGCTAACTTGAGTGAGAACCGCGCTGGCTCGGTGGCAATGCGTGGCAGTCCTAACGGGTTTTCACTTAGTCACCGCTTTCTCCTCCCTAAAGACCCTATGAAGTGGCTTCATCCCATTTGGGAAGTGCAAGGACCCAACAGTTAGCACTGGGTCACAGTCAAGTTAGCAGGTGACTAGGAGCCACACCCCTGCTTGGGGCAGGTCCTTCAACAGGAGACAGGCAGCCCGGGAACCCTGCAAAGGGGCTCACCCTCCTGGGCTCCCTGAGCAAAGTCCACCTGCCCCGGGGAAGCTCCCACACACGCTGCAGCCAGAGGCGGCGGCTGGCCGTTATCCCAGCCTCGCACCCAGGGCTGCAGGGGACAGAACGCAGCCGCCCCCCCCCCCCCAAGCACAGACGGAGCAGAACGCTGGGGCAGGCAGGTGGCCGGTGGCAAGCAGGCCCTGACCCAAGAGGCGTGGTGCCAGCTGTTCACAAAGCCGCCACGTAGTAGCATTAGGTTTCCAAAACCAGGTTCGCAGGACGGTGCAGGAGGCGTTGCCTGACCTGGAGACAGTGAAGGGTTTTTTTCGCCCCCCCAAATATGAAACAACTCTTGGATTCCAGAGGAAGTCAAATCTGGAGTAGAAGTTTGGGAACAATAGTGACAAGGGGAGTCCGAGGCCTGGGAGGCCGCCTCCCAGCCCCGGGCAGAGGCTCGGCCGGACAAGGTGCGCAGCGGGGCAGCCCCGGCCAAAGCAGAAGCGGTGCCTGCTCATCTTGAGAAGAAAAAGACCGCAAAGGAAAGCAGAAGGCAGGAATGCCCATAAAAGCAGAAGTTAGTACCTCAGAAGAGCAAAGTTGAGAACTAATAAATACATCCAAAATGTCACCATTCCAAAGGGCCATAAAACAGATGGATCAATAGCAAACCCAACCACCCTGACAAGTGTGGCTCGGTTGGTTGGGTGAAGTCCCAGAAAGCAAGGCGTTGCTGGTTCACTTCCCGGTCAGGGCACGTGCCTGGCTTGCGGGCCAGGTCTCCCGTCGGGGAGCAAAGGAGAGGCAGTGGATCCATGTTTTCCTCCCTCCCTTCCCTCCTCTAAAAATAAATAAGTAGAATCTCTTTTTTTTAAAGGCAGGAAAAAGCACAAAGACACTGCGCTGTGGCCCTGGCCTGCCGCTGGGCTGCTCCCTGCCGGGAGGCGTGGGGCACACACCAGGGCCTGCGCCGCCGGCGGGGGTGCGGGGGGAGCAGACGCACCGATGCAGGGCTGGGCCTGCCCCTGTGGACTGTTACATCAGGATGCAGTTCAGTGGGAGCCATCAGGGAGCTTTGTGGAGCAATATTTACGGCTCTGCGGCGCGGCAGGGTGCGCGGCCTGTCTGGGGTCACACGGGAGGTCAGGGCCTGGGGCTCGGCCTCATTGGGGTCGAGGGTGGGCGTCCGGGGTGTCCTGGGGTCCGTCCGTGTTGGCTCATGTGGCACATAAGGGGAGGAATTTGGAATCGGGAGGCAGGGTGCCCTGTGCGGTCGGTTACAGGGGTCCCCAGGGTTTACAGAAAGGAGACCTCCACGGGCAGGGTGGCCCCGTCCCCTGCCTGGGGGGTGGCTGTGTGCTGTGGCACTCACCTGGTGATGTTTATTGGAGATGAAGGTACTTTGAAATGGCAATCGCTTTCACAACAGACAAAGTTTTTTAAAGTGACAGGAAATTGAAAGGAGCGTGAGAGGTTATTTGTCTCAACTCTGTGGGAATGCCTCCGCGGGCTTCAATGCAATGGACTCGCTCTTCGGGAACAGTAGGTCACTCACCCGCCTCCAGGACAGACGTGACGTCACCCAGGGCTGGCACCGCGGCGGAAGGGAAGGCGGGAGGGAGCGCCCCCCGCCCCCCGCCGCACGCAGGCCCGTCCCGCGATGGCGGGGAAAGGGCACAGCCTTTCCAGGACTGGCCGTCACAGGTGGCTCCCAGCTCCTTCGGGGCCAAGAACAAAGGCTTCCAAGTGCATTTTGGAAGAAAGCGCGAGTTCAACCAAGCAAAAGCCACAGCCAATTCCATTCACAAGGTACCCGCTCAAAAGCCCTAAACGGGACACTGACAGACCCAAATCCAACGCACCGTGAAGAGAGAACGCACCGTGAGCAGCACCCCGGACGCAGGGATGGCCCGAGCTGGGGAGCCTGCGCTGGCGTGTCCCCGCCGTCGGGGGAGGCAGTCCTGTGATTCTCGGGGCCGCGGCGGGGGGCAGGGGGGCTCTCGTGGAGTGCGCCGGCCACACACAATAAATCCGCTCCAACGTGCTACCTCCCTGCACCGGTGGGTCCTTCCTCTGCGTCGCACTGGGCAAGTCCCAGCACCTCCACCTCATTCCCTGTGAAGCACCGAGTCCAGGTGCCACTCACCAGTGAACCGTTAGAGTCACTGCTGGTGGGGGACAGGAGCCACCGCAGTGCATTTGGCGTCCCCAGCGAGCGTGACACGTTCATAGAGCCAGCCCTATGTGGAGCGGACACCCCCAGACTCTGCGACCACCCACAATTCCCAGGTTTCTCACGTGGCCCAGGAAACCCTGCAGTTATCGGGGTGCCTGTGCCATTTCCGCCCGGGTCAGCCTTGGCCCGGGCCCCGCCCCCAGATGCTGGGATCCCACCCTGCTCGCAGCAGGTGGGGGTGGGCGGAAGGGTAAGTGCCCACTCCTGAGGCCCTGACCCCACGCAAGTTCCTCACAGGGGCTGTGACGAGAAAAGACCGGCCCCCTCGGACGCCGGAGGACAAGCCACTCCCCCTGAAGGGAGGGGCTCAGCAGACCCAGGGGTCCGAGGCTCCCAGCGCTGCCTGAGCCAGACCAGACGTCCCCTTCCCAGCGTCAGGGTGCCACGTCCCCACCCACGCCCCAACTTTCATCAGAAACTTGGTGGGGGATCTGTGGATGCAACGACATCCCAACCTGCCGACTTCAGCGAGGCCAGGCCGTGCCCACCCTGAGGGTCCTTTCAGGGCCACGTGGCGTCCATGGAGGCTGTGACTTCGGCCGAGCGTCCCAGACCCTGCGGGCGCTCCTCTCCCGTAGTGGCGCGTGGGAGGCTGACCGCCCGGCCCGGTGCTGGCGCCGCCGTGGCTGGGTGACCCCACCCGCTGCAGCACGGGGGCCCTTGATTCAGTTGGCGCCTCCACCCACGCGAAGCCCCCGCACGCCATGGACCCCCTGCCCAGGACCTCGGCCCCGCAGCCAGGCCCCAGGCCCCCCGCCCCGCCCAGTCCTGTGCCGAAGGTCTCGTGGCGGGGACCGCACCCAGTACCAATGTCTGTCCGTCAGGGCCCTCTCAGGACACAGAAGCCACACCAGAGAGTCAAATCGCGAGAATTTAATGTAAAGAATTGCTAATTAGTCATGAAGCTGTAAATAATGGAACCGGGTAAACGTTTTACCTCTCAGGGTCACAGAAGCAGAGACTGCGGGGTTCAGAGGCGATGACGCAGCCTCTCCTACGGGCTGTCAACCGTCCCCGCGGCCCTCAGCCACGACGATGGCGCACTGCCGGTGCCCCTCGCTCCTCGCAGCTGCTTCCCGACCGCCCCTTTGTGCCGGGCCGGCGCTGCCGTCCGCCCCGTGGCTCCGCGGCAGAGCCGACAGGAGAGGCGACTCACGCTGCAGCTGTTGGG